CACACACACACACACACACACACACATACACACGGTGTATGGGAATGAGTGAGTGTGCTTTGGGTCTGGAGATGAAATTTTAAACATAGGCTAGGCCTAGGGCCGCGAAATGTGTTGTAATTATTGTTACCAAGGATGTGTTAGCGTTTGTCGTTTGTTACCAGGCTGTTGAGGTTACTGGGTGGTTTTCTCCTCCAACGACAATGGTGGCACATATTCCCCATAGACTTAAAGGCTAATATAATGCATGTAATATGCAGTATAGTGTAAAGTATTTTATAGCCTATATTATCAGCATTGGTATAGGCACCCGCATTCTCTCGCTACAAAAATTGACTCTTTTTCTCAAAGAAGATCATTCTTAGACCGCCCGAAATGAAAAATCTGGGGGACCGATTTATTTCGTTTCGAGAAGATGAAAAGGGGATGCTTACTTTTTTATAAGTTTGTGCCAACACGGCGATCCCAACTGAAACTTCCGGACTGCCACAGCTCGTGGAAGAATACGATTCGCCGGTGAAATTTCCACCGGCTTTTGTTTTTGCTAAGCCTTCTTGAGAAGTGCAGTGTCGCATTTCTCAAAAATAAAGCATCATGCACTCAAAAGTGCTTCTTGTTCTCCTTCTTAGCGTTTTTGTAGCGGTATTCTGTAAAACAAACCAGGATACCATTGACAAAAATGTCGTGAATTCTAAGGTGGAACGAAAGCTGGACATTTCTTCTCATCTTGTCAAGACCGTGACAACCGTTACGATAGAAAATAAAGGTTCAACTGCTGTCCGTTCTTACCTTTTTGCACTTGATCCTTCCCTGAAAGACAGTCTGTCTTTTATTGGGGCAGTGGTGAGTTACATTTTTGTTGGCAAGTAGGGTTCTGTTTGACCCACCCACCCCCCTCTGAAAGTGAAAGTGATGACCAACTCAACTCTTGAGTGTAGCAGTAGCAGAATAATTCTAATGATAATGAATGCCTCAATTCTCAATTAGGCCAATGTCTAATTTCTTGCCCTCTTCCTTAATTTAGATTATTTGGCATTCTCCAGTTTTGGCCCCTAGAGTACTGGATATAAATCTAGATCTCTAGATCTAGATAGGAGGCTAACTAACTTAAATATTTGGTATCAAATTCAATTTTTTATCTGAAGGTGAAAGAGCGGGAGATAGCCAAGCAGCTATTCCAGCTAGATTAGATTGTAGATCTTTATTTCTCTTGTTTTTAACAAGGCTTGCCCCTTTGACCTAATAAAAATATGGGGGGTTTCAGGGGGAGGTATGATCGCTCATCAGACGCATCGGCACGCGCGTAGAAAAACTTACAAGATCTAGATCTAGATTCTAGATTTCTAATCGTTTAGAACCAGAAGTAATCGTCGGTAAACCCACACTCCATAGATCAAGATTTTAGATCTAGATCTAGATTTTCTTGTAGTCCGTTGGTACCAAAACTGTATTATCCCGATTATTTTACTTTCACTCCCAGAGGTAAAAAAACCGGGAGGGTTGCAAGGAAGCATCCCCCTCCCTCTCCCCCTCCATTTTTTCAATTGTAATTTGATATGTGTAAAATTAGGTTGGAAATTTTGTCTAAAATAATTGATTTGCAACAGTTACAGTTCTAATGGCTGTGTAATGTGATCACATGAAGCTACAGCGACCACCTAGCACCCCTCTGTGATTGGCCCAAATATAGATGACATTTCCGCCATCTGTTTTTGTCGTCTTCCGGGGTTTCACCCCAAGTCCAAGACTCTTGGGTTTCCCTCACAAATAAATGTTGACTAGATTCGTCTAGATCTTGCCGTGTTTGGGGGTTGTTTTTTTTTTTGGGGGGGGTTGGTATTAATCTGTGTTATCTTTTATTTTATAAACAATCTCTGCATTTCTCGTTCCATAAATTTACCTTTTCTCCTTTAATTTGTACACACACACACACACCGCACGCAAATACAAAACACACAAGCGTGTGCTCACACACATACAAAACACACAAGCGTGTGCTCACACACATACATACACATACAAGCTCGTGCATACACACGCGCGTGCACGCACTCACACAGCCCAAGCAGTCGGTGATGAAACCTAGACATCTAGTGTCGTAGTCGTAGCCCATCGCGCACTAAGCGGCAACGCGGATCTACCATGGTGAGATCTAGTCAACTGGCGAGGGAAGCCCCGGAAGACGACCAAAATAGATGGCGGAAATACTTCATCTATATTTGGTCCAATCACAGATGTATGCTAGGTGCTCGCTGCAGCTTCATGTAATGTGATCTTCAGCAAAAAATATGGCCGTTTGGCATACACACACACACACCCCCCCCCCCCCCCCCCTCTGAGGGAGTGAAAGTAAAACATTTTCTTACCTTGATTTAGAATAGAAAGCTGCAAAATGTTGACTTCTTCAGTTAGCCCTCTATTCATTCAGCATTACATTATTTTTCTGTCACAAGCAATACATAGTTGGCTGCTAGACTGTAGACTGTCTAAACTTAGTAGACTAACATGTTATGCTGTTCCTTGAATTTACTTCTGTTTGAAATAAAATGTCAGCAAGGATTGAGGTGACCCCTGAATACACAAATATCTCAGGAGAAATTCCAAATTTTCAGTTTATGGCTAAGGGCATCATTTTGGTGAATGGGAGTAATTCGGTAAAGAGCGACCACTATTAAACAGTCTAGAATAGATTTGGAGTCAGATTAAGGATATGAGTTGGTTTAGGGTTAGGTTTCTTTCTTTTTTTGTGTGTGTGTTGGGGTGGTTGCTCGCAATGGAAGTCCTTCCTTGGTAAAGTTGTAGTAGTTGATTTTCTGGACATGATGATCTTTTTATTCTAAATGAGGCCTAGGCGGTCTTTATTGCAAAATCATTTTTTGTAAGTTGTTTTGTCTTTTACTAGATCTAGAAATTTGTGCAGTGATGAAGATAATCACTTCCGTTGGGAGGACTTCCGTAACGAGCGACCACTGGAGAAGAACATTGGGGTTGGGTCTCTTCTTTATTGTCTTTGTTGGGGTGGTCGCTCGTTAGGAAAGTCCTTCCCTTCAGTGTCTTAGAGACGAAGTGATTGTCTCACTGATTCTAGACTGATCAAAGCTGTGTTTTTTTATGCGGAGGGAGGGTGGTTGCCTCTTTTCAATTGTCAGTTTTTGAGAATAGGCTCATGGCCATTGTACTTTCCAATATCTTGTTTTAACGACTTTAAAAACAAAAAGGGTTTGTTTTTTTTTCATTTTCAGACCAAGGATGACAAGGAGAAACTGGCAGTCAAGTCTACATCTGTGTCTGGAGAAAGGTGATTTAATATTTATTTTGAAATATTTCTAAAGCTGTATTTTTGTCCCACTTTACAACTAATCAAAATTGTGTCCAATGCTTAAAAAGCATTAGTTAAGTTTGAGTGTTGTTTACACTTGTGAAGTGTCTGACCCTCGAAAGTTGATAGTTCAAGCTGTGTACTTTTCTTATGCCAGTCGGTCATTTTTTTTTGTAATGATAAAAGCTGGGCGGAAATTTTCCCCTTGTTTGTGTAATTGAAATTTAAGATCAGTAACTACGATATCCATCCTCAGTTTTCATTTAAGATGCGAATGGGTACTTCAGAATATGAAGAAATACAAAAATTGATGGGTACTTGTAAGTGGCAGGAGAATTAAGAGGGAGGGAAAATGGAGTTGTGTTTTTTTTTTGCCATGTGTCAGCAATGTCAAGCTGTTGTATTTGTCCACACAGACTACGCTTCAACGAAGCAGGCCTCACACGGAAGAGAGAAACATTTGAGAAAGAATTTTTAAAATAAATAGTTTAGTTGTGAAATAGCCTACAGTTCAGTGGGATTTTTTTCTTGCCTGCAGAACCCTGCTTTGTTAGCTTTTTTTCTGTTACTGATATAGAATTAAAGCTAATTACATTGTGAAATTGTTGTGGTCTTTTTTTACATTTTGAATTGTTTCTTTTTTTTTCTTTTTTTTTTTTTGGTGACAGTGGCAAGACCTTCTTCCGAGTTGAACTGCAGCCTGCCCTAGATGGTGGCAAAACTGTCGCCATTGAAGTAGAAGCAGTTTTCTCTCATGTTCTCCAGCCATACCCATCAGAAATTACACAGGTACTGTTCACTTTGCGACATTTTGTCAATCATTGTCTTATCCTTTAGCTGTCCTTGAGGACTGTGTGTGCTTTTCATGTGCTGCCAAAAGCCTTGACGTACTGACTGACACTGTCTTTTTGATGGACAATTATTCAAGATTCTGGTTTTCTGCTTTGTAGAGCATTAATGTATTCTCTCTCTCTCTCTCTCTCTCTCTCTCTCTCTCTCTCTCTCTCTCTCTCTCTCTCTCTCTCTCTCTCTCTCTCTCTCTCTCTCTCTCTCTCTCCTCTCTCCTCTCTCCTCTCTCTCTCTCTCTCTATATATATATATATATATAATATATACACACACACAGGGTACTTTTTCGCTCATGCTTACTGTTATACATCCTGGCCTGTTTGCTGTTAGGTATTTACAGGCAGTGATGTTGAGAATATCTTTCTTTTAAAAAAATATATATATTTTAAGATTTAACAGTCACATGACCTGATCATGTCTTTCTTGCTCTAAAAATATATTAATGGGCATTGATTTTAAAACCGTGTAGTAACGTTTATCTTTCATGTCCTTTCCTTGAATAGGCTGAGAAGCAGCTGGTTGTCCTGGAAGCCAGCCTGTACTTCTACTCTCCCTACTCAACCGCCACCCAGACCACGACCGTCACCACTACCAACTCCAACGTTGAGTCGTACACCAAGACCAAGCCTGTGTCTCAGAGCGACACTACAATCAACTATGGCCCGTATGAAGATAAAGCTCCTTTCTCAGAGGTATACTCTCGGGTCATCTGTTGCTCAGTTTGTCCAGGTTGAACTCTGTTGTGTCCTTTTGAAAAATTGTTGTCTCGTCCATGATGTATTTTCTGTGTTGTGCACTTTAAATTGGTCGCTTCTAAGCACAAGGGGGCTATCCCAAAAAGTACTGTTTTGAGAAAATCGAAGGTAAAGTTGTTGGCGTGTGTTCAGTTTGTTTAAAAGACAAGGAGAGTTTTCTCTATAACCAAACAAATGTACGCACCAATGAAACCAGACTTCTCCTGTCGGTCCCACTTTTGGTGTAGGTAAAGATTTCTGGAACCCCCCCCCCAAATCTGGGTTAGCCCGCTTGTCCTTAAAAGCAACCAACTGGTGGTTATGAGTTCTATGTTTCAAACTGAAAGTGGATTACTTAAAGCTCTCTAAATTTCGATCCTGGTCCATTTCTTCAGCAGTTCCCACGTATATAGCCCAACCTCCTTGTGGAAAGGGATGGGAGAACTATGCTTTTTTACCAGGTAGCAATCACTTTCCACATTATTGGCTTATGTTGCTGTAAATGTGTGGATGGTCGATATCAAACAGGATAGACCACAGATATCTTAATATGAACATAAGACACAGAACACCACCACGCCATGTTGGTCAGCTCTACACGCTAAGTGCAATGACTCTTTTATTGAAGCATGGATAGTTGTTTCCTTTGGCTTCTACTAATCAGCCAAAACATTAGGGTACACCGAAACATAGGGTACATTATAATGTTACAGTAGCCTACATAATAGTTAGGTCAATACTTAAGATTGCACCAGTATTTACTAATGATCGCCCTCAATATAATACTTCTGCTGTTAACTCAAAATTAAATGTGTGTTATTGTTCCATCTTACAGGCACCACTGAGAGTCCATGAGGAAAACAACAGTCCATTCATCACCGTGACGACCATGGACCGGGTGATAGAAGTGTCTCACTGGGGCAACATTGCCGTGGAAGAGCACATTGATATGAAGCACACCGGAGCCAAGCTCAAGGGGCCCTTCTCCAGGTTCGACTATCAGAGACAGCAGGACGGATACGCCTCGGTGAAGAGCTTCAGGGTAAGATGTGCACTTGAGTCAGTATCTTTTTATTGTTCTCTGTGGTCATACCATCGGTCTTCAGTTGTCATATTAGTAGTACATCACTTTTGTTTGATTTGTTTAGAATTTATTTCTGGTTATATTACTGTGCCCTTTTTCATTTTTCGTTCCCTTTAATTGGATGGCGTACTTTTAATTTATAGAGTTACAATAATATTTTTAACGCTTTTATTACTTTATTACAATATACTGTATCAATGGACACTGTGGTCACTTGCCTTTGGTGATTGTTAATTTTTTTTCTTTAAGCTTGAGGACTTGGTTTGGTTTTTGTTGTTTTTTTACTTGAATGAAGCATTTGGACAGTTTTGGTAATGTTATCTGTGCGTATTTTTTAATCGCCTTTGAATGTCTGTTTCGCTGCAGAGGTAGTCACGCTGTCTTATATATTTTCCTTGTTTATCCAGACAATCCTGCCTGCCTCAGCTCGGGACGTTTACTACCGCGATGAGATCGGCAACATTTCCACTTCCAACATGAAGGAGCTGGATGAGTCTGTGGACGTTGAGCTGAGGCCTCGGTTCCCCCTGTTCGGTGGCTGGAAGACAAGATATTTCCTTGGCTACAATGTGCCCAGCTACGAGTATCTCTTCTTCAAAGGTATTCTTACAGATAATTGGCCGCTTTTAAGCACGAGGGGACTGTCCCGAAAAATGCTGTTTTGAGAAAATCGAAGGTGAAGTTTTTGCCCCTGGTTCGGTTTCTATAAAAGAAAAGGAGAGTTTTCTCTTTATCCAAACGAATATACACACCAATGAAACCAAACTACTCCTATAGGTGGAGCAATGTCCACTTTTGGTGTCTGTCAAGATTTCTGGAAACCCCTGGAATGTGGGTTACCCCGCTTAATCTTATAAGCAACCGATTAAAATTTGATTCAAGCTCATCGGAGACCCTGTTTGGATAACCCCTTCACCGCGAGAGAAGAGACATAACTCCACACATATACAACAAAGTTTTAATTCAGTCAGCGGTCAATGTTTTAAGGCCCATCCCTATTTTTCATTTTGTGATGGATAGTCTACTGATCAGATCTAGTTCTATCCTTTCCTTTTTCTAAGTAGCTGTTTGATTCATCTAGATCAAAATCTTAATCCTTTAGATTCCATAGCGGAAAAGGTCAATATTACTGAGATTGAATATTCAAATGACCCTAACTCTCTTTCTTGTAGCCCTGTAGTGACACTAAAAATTTTGACAAACGCAGAAGTTTTTGCATGCTGAAAGTCAGGCTAGTATTGTAGAATGAGATTTCCTTTTAATTAGTGACAGGAAAGCTTCTGATGGTTGTGAGGGTGAAACTTCCGCTAATTTCTGAAGTAAGTCATCTTTACCATGGACTGTTCATGGACAGCTCAGTGGTCTTTTTGTCAGTGTGTTGAGCTCTAAGGTTAATAGCTTGTTTTAAGTCTTTGCTTTGACGTTTTTACGAAGACGGTTGGCATTGTTCTGATTGTTGTGTTCTTGTTCCACCAGGTGATCAGTATGCTCTGAAGATGCGCTTTGTTGACCACATTTACGATGACATGCTTGTGGACCAGCTTCAGCTGAAGATCATTCTGCCCGAGGGAGCAAAGTACGTAAATGCTGGACTTTGATCAAGAGCTTAAGTTGGCTGGCGTGGAGCTTTAGATTTCTGATACTTTTGATTTTATTTTGAGACTTTTTGATAAGGATAGTATTTGTGTGGGTAGTTGGCGGGTGCTCTGGTGTGGTTTGCTTCGTCTTTCCTATCAAACATCTATCGTCCTTATCTCTCCTCCTTCTTCTTTTGTGTTTGTTACTCTCTTGTAATGCCTCTAATCTTCGGCACTTATATGACTTTATTGTGTTGCTAGTGCCTTAAAACTTTTAGGAAAAAGGAAAAAAGATAGTATTTTTGTTGTTTGTTGTATGGTAGGTGACATGTTGTTGAGAGACCTACAGGTTGATTGTCAGTCGCAGCCAGCCTGTGTCCTTAAAAATGCTGGCAGAGCATTCGTTCCCTTCGGGTGTTGTCGCTCTTTTGAAATGGGATATGGTATGAATTTCCACAACAGAATTGCCTTTGTTATTGTATGAAGTCTGATAAGTTGGATAAATCCCTAAAATTGTGCTGTAGAATTTGTCCTTTTTCAGTTAAAAATTGTCTTCTTAAAAGCATAAGCTAGGAATTTTGTTTTTGATGTTTACTACATTTCAATGCAGAGTGTAGGTATGAAAATAATACGTATATATTTAAATATATAAATATTATTTTTTTTTAGGAACATTGAACTGAAGGTGCCTTTTGATGTTGAAAGAAAGGGTGATGAAATCCACTACACCTACCTGGACACTTTGGGTCGCCCAGTTGTTGTACTTAACAAAGTCGGCTTGGTGGAGCAACACATCCAGGACTTTGAGGTAATTATATCTTTTGACAAGTTGTCTGAAACTGAAAAGTTGTGCTATTAAGGGGTCTGATTTTCTATTTTCTTCTATGTGTCACTGGGTTTTGGTTTTGTTTTGCTGGGGGAGTTGTTGTGTATAAGATACAAGTAAATATTTGAGCTTGGTCATCATTTTGTATTTTTGTTTGGGAAATGGGCTCAATTTTTTTTATGGCAGTAGTAATAGGTTTTATATTCCAGTGAGTGACTGTGTTTGGTGGTTTGAATTTATCCTGTTATGATGCAGAGTGATGTCACTTTGATTCAACCATTTTTATGCATTTATTTATTTTTAAAATCCTTTTGAAGGACAAATGCATTTGAAATGGAACCTACTTTGGGTAGATATACCCTCAACAAACATATGGCCGGACTTGTAAACAAAAGAGCTTTGTGATATCTTACTCAATGTTACTTTGATTTTTCTTGGAATTAGTCTAAAGTTGCTGTGTCAAAGATGTAAGTTTGCCATTTGCTGTTTGCTTCTGCCAGTGTAAATGGCACTCTGGTCTTCCCTTTTGTCCCTTTGCCAGAGACTTCATCAAGTCTCTCTTCTATCTATCAGCACATAACAAAACACACACACTCACACACACAGTGGGTGGTTGGCAGGTGCTCTAGTGTGGTTCGCTCTTTCTTTCCTATCAAACATCTATCGTCCTGATCTCTCCTCCTTCTTTTTTCTGTTTGATACTCTCTTGTAACACCTCTGATCTTCGGCACTTATATGACCTTATTGTGTTGCAAGTGCCGTAAAGCTCTTACTAAAACTAAACGCACACACAAGTACCTTTCTTATGTCTCATGTTATGAATGTTCATTTTTGTTCCAGCTGCACTACACTTTCCCCAAGTACCTGCTCCTCCAAGAGCCCTTGTTGCTGGTCGGCGCTTTCTACCTGCTCTTTTTGATCGTCATCATCTACGTGCGTCTGGACTTTGCCATTACCAAGGTGAGATTTTCTTGTGCAAAGAATTTCCACACATTCGTATTTTTTGTTTCTGTGGTTGATGGAGTTGTCAGCTGTGTTCCCTGGTCTATGGGTGCTTATTTTGATTATATTGATGGAGAGTAGTGAGGTTTCTGAGGCCCAGAGGTGAGGTGTTTGGCTCTCCTGCCTCTCGTTATTTTCGTTCAAATTGATGGCTAGATGCAAGACACCGGCAAGCACCCATTGTGCAATATATGATTTATCTTTCTATAATTCATAAAAAGCTGGGCTTAAAGTTTTAAATCTATTTTTAACAGTATTTCAGAATATCCTTCTACCATTTCTGAGTTTTTCCTGACGCCGCACATTAAATTTCACTTATCTGTGGGTTTTAAAGAACTCTGCCATCAAACACATACATTGAAGTAAGAAATTATAATTTTTGTAAATGTTCTCTTATATGGTTGGGCAATATTGAGCATTTTAGCATCTACTCTTTGCTGAAACATGCTAAATTTTCCTTTCAGGATGAGGCGAAGGAGAGTCGCATGCGTGTGTCTAGCCTGGTGGATGAGGTTCAGAGCATCCATGACCGCAGGAGCGCCCTGTACCAGAGCTACGATGACGCCATCAACAAGTTCAAGTCCAGCAAGGACCTGGCCGCTTTCCAGAGCAGCCGTAAGAAGATTGACGCCGACTACAAGCAACTTTCCCAACAGATTCAGAACCTGCAGGCTCAACTCAAGGCCGAGGGCTCTGATGCTGCTGAAAAGGTACGGTGTTCCCTATGTTGTGCTGATAGTTTAGTATTGTGTCCTTATCAGTTTACTGGATAGGGAACATTATGTCTGTCACCTTACGGTGGAAGACACACACACACACAAAAAAACTTGGGGGGGGGGGGGGTAATTTTTTATGTCCACAGTTTAGATCATTTAGGAGGCAGGATTCGATCCGACTGGTTTGGTTTACATGAAAGAATTTTTAAGACAGAATTGCAGTGAACTTAATTATTGTCATTATCTGATGCATGAAGATCAAATGTGGGTACGGCGTATAGGTTTAAATATGATTTTTTTTAATATTGTGATTTGGGTGGCAGTGGGAACTCATGTTCACCTTCGCTTTCAACTCATTTCAAAACTTCCAGTTGAAAATCGATGACTGTTCTTATCCTTTCCCTCTGACCTTGATGTTCCTATTGTTGTTGCTACTGCACATATATAACTATTTCTCCGTGAACTTGTTTTGTATTTATTACCTATACAGTATGGCGGGGGTTTTTTTAAAGTTGTTTTATTTTACTTGTTTATTCTCATTGCTGTTTTCCACAATTTTCTGTGGGTATCTGGTGAGTCCCCTCTTGTATGGTCTGCATATGCTTCATATATCTCTAATTTTTCTTTATATGGGTAACTAGAGGATGTGCAGTAGGTAGTTGGGGGGTGTTCTGGTGTGGTTTGTTCCTTATTTCCTCCCTTGTAACATCTCTAATCTTTGGCACGAATATATGACATTTTTTGTGTTGCAAATGCTATAAAACTTACTAAAACAGATGGTACCACTTATAGATGTCCTACTTTTTTTTTCTCTCTCTTTGCTGTCCTACTGTTTCCCTGTACTAAATGACCGTTATTGTGTCGATGTGCTTCTCTTTCCTCAAACTCGCAACATCATTTCATGGAGACTTAACTCTGAACTGTTCCAACCATCCTCAGGTTGGAGAGCTGCAACGCTTCGACAGCCAGTACAAGGAACAGATCGGCCTGGCCATCACTTCTGCGGAAAAGCTGGTGTCCGGCAAACTGGGCCGCCAGCAGTACCTGGACGCTGAATCTGCCACCACTGCCAAGTGTGAAGATATCTATAAGAAAATGGAAGCTCTGCGCGCAAACTTATAAACTGAATAGCTTACACATCCGTATGCAGCTCATACCATTTAGTTGTTCTGTTTCGATGGATTTTAAAAAATATATATTTTAAAGCACTTTGTTAATCATACTTTCCACACATTGACAGTGTTTATAAATAAAGGCGTATGCTTCATGTTTGTTTTACTTAAAGAATTGGATGTATGTGTGAGTGATATAATGGCTTGTGACTGTCTTGTGATCGGTGTTCAGGAAAGGCTCGAAATGTTCTTTTTGTTTTAGCTGAGTTTTACTTTCTGTCACTCAGTTTGAATTGTATGCCTTTATTTTTTTTTTTATTCTTCAATGGCTTTATATTTGGTTTTGTTTTAAATTGTTCCTGTTGTTTTTCCGTTTTTGTATTTTGACGTTCAGTCATAGGAAGACATGGAGTTGTTTGTTGTTCTGTATCATCCGAGTTTGAGCTTGAGTGGCAAGTGAGTTAGGTACAGATGAGGTACAGATGGCTGATGCTGTGGTACTTGTTGAAGAGCTCAGAAAGTTTCTTCTGATTGGCACTTGATGTTTGTTCAATATTTGTGTTAAAAAAAAATAAACTTAAAAAATGTAAAACTGCTCTGTGTTTGTCATGTGACTGAAGTGACAGTACCTGCGTCAGTCTGTTTTACTCGTCGTTTGATTAATTTTTCTTTTATTTTAGAGTCATGAGCCACTATTTCACTATGTGGGTGGTTAGAAGGTGCTCCTGTGTTGTTTGCTTCCCCGAGTATGTGGGTGGTTAGCGGGTGCTCTGGTGTGGTTGGCTTCTTTTTTCCTATGAAACGTCTATCGTCCTTATCTTCCCCTCCTCCTTTTTTTATGTTTGTTACTCTCTTGTATCTGGATCGGAAAAGTAGTACTCTCTTGTAATACCTCTAATCTTCTGGCGCTCATATGACCTTATGCAGTTGTGAGCACCGTAAAACCTCTACTAAAAACAAAACGAGTATCTCAACCTTTCTGCTGGGATCTTGTGTCCCTCTCAACCTGGTTTGGCTTTGACAGGCAGGATCGAAAACCCTCCTACATGATCTAGATTGTATAAATATGAGCGTAAAAACACCTACATCTGTTTTAAATCCCTAGTAGTTAGAAGTAGTAGTACTAGTAGTAGCTACAATCTTCGGCCCTTGTATGACCTATTCCTGATTCAAGTGCAGTAAAATTCTTTCCAAACTAAAATTAATTATACACTACTGCACAGCAGGACTTTTTTAAAATTTCCTTTCTATCAGCTTTTTTTTTTGTGGAGCCTGGGGTACTGAGTAGACATTTTGCATGGGTGATTGGTGGGTGCTCTGGTGCGGTGTGCTCCTTTTTTATCAAAATGTTATGTCATCCTCATCCCCCCTCCTTCTTTTCTGTGTTTGTTATTCTCTTGTAACACCTCTAATCACTAATCTTCAGTGGGAGGTTGGTGGGTGCTCTGGTGTGGTTTGCTTCTTCTTTCCTATGAAACATCTATCGTCCTTATCTCCCCTTCTTCTTTTTTATGTTTGTTACTCTCTTGTAACACCTCTAATCTTCTGGCGCTCGTATGACCTTATGCAGTTGCGAGCGCCGTAAAACTAAACTAAAACACTTACTTGACGTACTAAAACTAAACTAATACATTTTTGCTTTACACTCCACATTCTAAAGATGTGAGTTTGATTCTCCGTAAGGGAGGATTTATTTCATCAATCATCACCATCTTTCTGCTGGAGTACAGTGTACTTAAACTTAAACCCCATCGCATCTCTCCCTAAGAACAAATTTGTTAATTTGTTAAGCAAGAACTGATCAACTCGCTGACAACTTTTTGACATCACTCACTCACAAGTCAGAAACACAAGTTTGCGCATATTTCATAGTGAGCTTGTGCTTGTCTGTCTGCTAGTACTAGTACTAGACTAGACAGAAGATAAAGATAGTGGGGTTAGTGGCTTGGGAAGAAGCTTTAGGGAAGGGGAGAAAGAGAGAGACACATCATGCGCACACGCACACACACACATACTAATACTATTATTACTATACACACACACACACCGACGATTTACACAGGAACAGAAAAACATAGGCCTACATACCACTCGAAAGAGAAGTGTATGTTATTATGGTTATGAGAGAGACTGGTGGTTATTTATACTATTACTATACTAATAGAGAGGGAAGGTGGGAATAGGGAAGGAGAGATTAGAAGAGGGAGACGCACATCCAGACTGATCGAAAAAGAAGATAGACCGGGGGGGGGGGGGGGGAGAGCAGTATAGTATGGAAGGAGAGAAGTAGAGATAGTTTGTTTTAGTTTTAGTAAGTGTCTTACGGTACTTGTAACGCAACGGGGTCGTAAGTATAAGTGCTGAAGATAAGATGTGTTTCGATAAAGAAACGAACACAAAAAAGGAGGAGATATAAAAAGGATGGATGTTTGATAGGAAAGAAGGATGGGAGATAATAAGGATGGGTGTTTGATAGGAAAGAAGAAACAAACCACACCACAGCACCCGCCAACCACCCACATAGAGACGGGAAGAGAGAGACACGGGCACAGAGGGAGAGGGGGGGGGCATAGGAACAGTTAAGACACACGCCAAGATAGAGAGGGGGGAAGGGTAGCGAAAAAACCTTAGGGACGGAGAGATAGGAAGAGACAGAGAATAGGGGCAGGGAAGAAAAAGT